CCCACAGCTGCCCGCTTTTTGACCATTTAAGAGGAAGAGCGCCCATAGCCAAGTCCCCATCGGCGCTCACGAGTGTTTACATAACGCCAAACATCCCTCGCAGCCGAGCCCCGAGCTCGGGGGCAAGAACATGGGGAAAGTTGGAGCGGACGCGCAGCTCCAGTGCCGAGCCCGCGGTGGTCCCGGGGAGGGGACCCCGGTCCGGCAGCGCTGCGGGACCCGCCGGGAGGGCGGAGGGGACTCTGCCCGGTCCTGCCAGGGCTGCGGCGGCCGGGCATCCCCGCCGAGCACGGGAATGCAGCCCTGCACAGCAGCGGGCTGCATTCCCGGGTTTCCCCGCCTAGCAACGGGCTGCATCCCCGGGCATCCCCGCCCAGCACCAAGCTGCATCCCTCGGGCTGCGGGACGGGGCTGCTCCGGCGGCCACTCGCCGCCTCCCTCCCTGTCCAGCCGTACCCGCTCTCTCCCGGCCGTACCTGGCTGCGGAGGCGGCGGGGCGGGCTACGGACGGCTCGGCAGCCCCATTCCGGCGGCGCTCCCGGTCCCGCTCCCGGAGGCTGCGCCCGCCGCCGCCTCAGCTGCGCGTCCACATGGTCACTGCGCTCCTCGCCCGCCGCCGTGCCTTAAATAAGCCGCGAGGCACGCTGGGTAACCGAGTCCTGCCGCCGCCGCGCCGCCGCGGGGGCGCGTGCCGCAGGACTACAGCTCCCAGCGTGCCCCGCGCCGCGCTCCGGCCGGGGGGCGTGCGGTCAGTGATGGGGACGGACCCCTCGGTCCGTGCGGTCACTGATGGAGATGAACCCCCTCCGGCTGGGGTGCGGATGTGTTTTGCTCCGGGGGGCTTCGCACAGAGCCCTGGAGCGGGCGAGGGGCGAGCGTGCGGGGGTAGCGGGCACAGAGGCTGCGGGGAAACCAGCCAGGGAGAGTAAACACTGAGTAAACACTGAGTAAACACTGAGTAAACACTGAGTAAAGCAGGTGTCAGCGCGACTTGGGGAGCGCAGAATAGCGGGGAGGTGACGCTGAGGTGGGCACCTGCCTGCTCAGGTGCTGTCACCTGTGGCGTGACTCGTGCGAGCCCTTGCCTGAGCAGATCTCGTCTGTTCTGCTGCTCCAAACTCTGGAAACAGCGAGTGCCACTGGGGTTCCTCTGCACTAAAATCACGGCACGGGAGTATCACCAACGAGACATCACAACTTCAGCCAGAATGACCAGCAGCGAATAAAAAATAGTAATACTAATTTATTTATTTTATTATGCAATTATTTGTCCTTAAATATTAGCCAAGGTTATTTCCCACAGTTACACCCTAATTTTCCTGCTCTCCGTGGCTGGCTGGCAGCACCCAGAGCCACGCAGGGGTGGGTGCAATGTTTGCCTGAAGAACTGTATCACTTTAACTGGGATTTAGGTGAAGGAAACATTTCCCTCCGCTCCCTCTCACCCACACCCACCTGCTTCTTGGGACAGGTAGGAATGGTGCACGGCTCCTGGCTTGTTTCCATCTCTACAGCAGCAGGATGACGCTGATGAATGGGAACAAGCCCAGATTAGCCAGTTTGAAATCAATGTAACATCCCCCTGCACTGGCTCTCCATTAAAAATACCTCCAGAGGAGTTGTAGTTGTGGCTCTGGAGCAAGGATATGCAGAAACTGAAGCTCGTGACTCAGGAACTGAAGCGAAGGTCAGAGAACAGAGTTTTATGGGTTTCCTACATGGCTGCAATACTACAAGCCATTACTCATCAGGAATTTGGCAGAGTAGTGGTGCCTAATATCATTAGATAATCCTAATGAATTCTTGTGTAATCAAATCTAATCTCTGGCTGGGTTCAGCAGGCAGAGGCTGTGAGTGGCTGCAGAGGCTCTGAGGCAGTGACAGAAGGGCTGTCACCAGAGCCAGGGGCAGAGCTTTGCCTGCTGAGCACCTTGAGCAGCTCTGCCTTGAAATAGCTCCAGCACTGAAGGATAAATCCCAGCAGCAGCAATGGGAGAAGACATGGAACAGGCTGCTCAGGGGGGGAATGGAGTCTGCCCCTCTGGAGACATTCCTCTCCCAAATACCAAAGGCCACATTTTTGCTTATGGGCTTCGTTTGATTCTGGGTCTTGGTCAGTTCTTCAAAGGCTGAGGAGCTCACAGAAGGCCAGAATGGTTTGAGTTGCTCCCAGCCCCATCCAGACTGGTCTTGGACACTTCCAGGAATGGGGCAGCCACAGCTGCTCTCTTTGGGCTCCCTGTGCCAGGGCCTCCCCACCCTCACAGGGAAAAAATTCTTCCTAATGTCCAATCTAAACCTCTTCTCTGTCAGCTGGAATCTGTCCCCCTTGTCCTGTCATTCCATGCACTGATGGCCCCTCACCAACTTTTGGCCCTTCAGCCAAAAATATTGAGCCAAGCTCTGTGAATAACTTGTTAGATTTAAAGGGGTGCTGGCAAAGACAAGATAATCATGAAAGTTTCCAGTGAAGGAAAACATTTCCATTTGTCTTTAGGAACTTGCTCTGGGGTGCTGCAGCAGGCACAGTGAGTTCCTATAATCTTACAGCATTGAAAAGAGATAAAATTGTAGGGCAGGGTGGGAGTGGAAAAAGTCACCTTGGGAAGGACCAGAGCTATTCCCTTAAAGGAATTTTTGCTGACAATGGGAACTACAGGAGGCAGCCCTGAGATGGGAACAGAGTCCTGTTCACTCAGTAGCAAATGAGGGCTGGGCTTGGAGCCCACATACCCCCAGAGGGCCGAGGGAATGAAGTCAAGAATTCAGAGAGGAAACAGTGAAAAAACACTACTTGGTAGGTATCACTTCAGCCCTGGGAGCTGTACTGTGAATGTTTGGCCCAATTTCACATGTGGTTTCAGTCACAGGAAAACAACTTGTGAGGGATTTGTATTTTTTTGTTATTGGAGTACTTTGTTCATTTTCTCCTTTTCGAACCTTATTCTGCTCCACTCCTACTTTATTGTCAGCAATTATGGAAATTCAGCATTGATAAAAGATGTTAAAATGAACTTTGAAGTCTTTTATTTGCTTTTTATTTCTATTGTCTTGTTTCGTGCTGACAAGTTTGCACCTAACCATTGCCTTCCCTGGGCTGTTTTGGAAACATTGCACCTCCAGCCTGCAGGGTGGCTTTGCACAGGTTTTGTCTCTCTGCTGTTGGCTCAGCTGCAGCTCAACAGCCCTGGAAGAAAAACGAGAGCAGAAGATATTCCAGGACTCTGAGGATCAATCTGTCTCCTCCTGCTCATGGCTGGTCTTCCCAATGGGGAAGATGATCCCAGAAGTTCCCTGTCCTTAGGGAGATCCATGCCAGCACTCAGGGATGAAAAGCACTCCTGATAAATGCTAGAGCAGCTCAGCCTCTCAGTGAAGTGCTGGAAAATCTCTCATTCCCATCCCATTTTAATAACAGCAAGATCAGAAGCCTGGGGACTCAGAGTGAGGAAGGAGAAAAACTCAAGCCTGCATGGCTGAGCACAAAATAATCCACACCAGCAGAAGTTCTCCAAAGTCCTCAGGACCTCAGACTGGGAGTTGGATGTTGCTCCATCCAGAAGTGAAGTGTAATTATTTAATCTGTTCTCCAGGGAGAGGAAGGAATATGAACCCTCCTGATGGAGCTACACAAATGATGCTCACAAGAATTCCAGGAAAACGAGCCATGAGAACGAGTGGGCAGGATACACTAGAGAGCTGTCCCAGCTCATTGGAAATCAGCTGCTTTTCCTGAATTCCAGCACCACACAGCCAGAATCCCAGGGCTTTAGCAAAGGGAGCTTATCCTGGCAGACTGTTTTCAGTTCTAGAAGTCTGTAGAATTTGGATGCCTACATTTTGCTCTTGCTTCAGTGAACTGTGTTGAGAAAAATTTAGCAGGAGAAAATAAGATGGATTTAACTCTCATTTTCATAGACATTCTTTCCTTGACAAAGGGCAAAGATCACCGTGCCAACGCAAAAGAATATTTCCATTTTCTGACCCAAAGTAGCAAGTTGTATAATTAAGTTTGCATTCGTTTTCCTGCTCTCTGATGCTTTTCTGGAGCACGTCATAGGGCAAAAGGGACTAATGATGGATAATTGGAATTCATCCCTGTGAAGCCTCCCAGCACTGCCATCTTACACACAGTAAAACTTCACAGAGCAAACACATTCAAGTGCAGTTCCTTTCAAAACTCACAGCAAACGATAAAACCCCTCCTTCACTCTGGCCATGCTTCTCTTTGCTGCAAATATAAGCAAATATTACATTGACTATTTAGAATTAATATCCCACAGGATGAGTAAACAGTTATTTCGGTGTAGGGGATGATGCAGAAGATCCATTCTTTTGGCAGCTCTGAACAGCAGCTCCCACAAGAAAGTAAAGATTTTACAGAATCTTCAACAACTCCGGTGAACTGCGGGAAAACGAAGGAGAACACAGAAGTGCGAGTTCCCTGAGGGAGAGGGGGAATGCCAAGGCACCCTTCCTGGGAAGGGGCTGGAAGCACACTCCTGGCTCCCCTCAGGAGAGATCTGTGTGGGTATTTCAGGTATTTCTATGGACGGCTGAGATTCCCGGGGCTGTTTGAGGTATTTCTGTGCATTGCTGGGTTCCCCTCAGCGTTCTGCGGAGTGAAGAGGCCCTGAGCAGTCTCTCATTATCCACACAGGCTCTGCAGCTACCGGTGTGGATGGGGGGACAGGGGGGACATGAGAGGATGGAGGAGATATGAGGGGACACGGGGGGACAGCCCCGGTCCCGCCCCTCGCGGTCCCCTCGGGGCGCGGCGCGGCCCCTTTAAGACGCGCCCGGTCACATGACCGCGCCCGGCACGTGGCCCCGCCGCCAATATGGCCGCGCCCACCCGGCTGTGCCGCTGCCTCTTCCCGCTGCTGTTGGGAATGGGAATGGTGACGGCCACCGGCACCCCCGGCACCGGGGACTGCGGCTGCAGCGCCGGCCGGGCCCCCGGGGACGGGCGGGAGGCGGCGGCGCGGCGCTACTCGGCGGCGGCGGGCAGCGGGGGGAGCGCCGGGCTGGGGCCGGTGAGCGGCGGGACCGGGCCGGGCCGAGGGGGGGACCCCGGCGGGGACCCCGGCGGGGCAGAGTGGTTTAACTGATAACGGAGCAGCCCGGGAACTGCTGTGGGAGAGCTTAAATGAAATCACAGGCGGGTGGGCCGAACCCAGAACTGGGCTTGGGCGCGGGTGCTGCTTCTGGCCCATCTCGCTCTTACCTCGCGGAGAGAACAGGAAAACACGAGCGGCTTCCTCTCCAGCTGGCTCGGCTGAAATGCTGGGAAGCTGCATCAGCTTGGAAAAAGCTGTGTCCTACAGGCAGTGCAGGAGCTCGCTGGGTGAAAGGTGAACTCTGGTACTGCAGGCTGCCCTCTGCAAACCGGGCAATGTTTAAAGAGTGTGGAGTGAATAATCCCCCTGTGCTCGGGATCCATGTCGCCGATGGGTATTTTGTGTGACAAACCTGAGCAGTTCACTCTGGGTCTGGAGGATAAAAAAAAATTCCTTTTTATGCAGCTGGCAGCTCCAGCAGTAGGTAATGAAAGTTAATTACTGCTGGATTAAGTTATGCTCATAACATAACTTGATGATGCTTAGCTAGAAAACGTCTTTACTAGCAGAGAAAAATTGGCCTCTGTATCACCCACAAACAGCTTTTAGAACAGCTTTTAGAACAGGTTTTAGAACTGGGGAGCCAGATAGAGTTTATTTTGCACGTGGTTTTAGCCCAGTGAGCTCTGAGCCTGGCTGGGAATCCCTTCAGGGAGTTGTGTCAGCTACCGAGGGTTGAAGAGAGATTGGAAGGGAGGAAGTAGAGCAACTTTACACTATATTGTCATTTCCTAAGTCCTAAAAAATGTAAGCAAGTTTATCCTGAAGCCTTTTGATGGAGTCAGTTTCAGAGTATCTGTAAGAGCTCAGATTCTTCTCAGTGGTGAAAGTTTTGGGGACACAGCCAGCTTCAGATGTGGGTAGGCCAAAGGAGAAGATGTTTGTAGCATTTTTCATGGGGCAGCTGCAGGCTGTGTGAATTTTGAGAGACCCAAGCAGGAGAGAGCTACAGTGGAGAATAAACACTGAAGTGGGATGAGTAAGGTGGTGCCAAATACTCACTCCAGCTGCCCTGAAGAACCAGGAGAGGTGCTGGGGAATGCTGTGAGCTCGTTTACTGCTCCTTTGCTACCCTGGCAGTGGTGTAACTGCAGAAATACCAGCAAAGTGTAACACAGGAAACAGAACATTTCTCCTCATGAGAGCACCAGCATCACCCAGACTTCATGTAAAAGCCTGCAAATGGGGATTTGCAATTTCAAATTGTTGAAATTGCAGTTTCCAATTTCAGTTCTATTTCCTGTTTCCCCAACTGGGCTGGCCAAAATGCTCTTTCAAAAACACCTGCAAGGATGAGGTGCAGGAGGAGTAAAACCAGCGTGGGGCTTCTCAGTCCTTCGTTCTCCCAACCTTCTGGGTGGTGTTTGCTGTGCAGATGGTGCTGATTCCGGGAGGGGTGTTCACCATGGGCACCCACAAGCCTGAAATCCAGCAGGATGGAGAGGGGCCTGCCAGGAGAGTGCACATTGACAGCTTCTACATGGACCAGTACGAGGTCAGCAACCAGGACTTTGAGAGATTTGTGAATTCCACGGGCTACATCACTGAGGTGAGGCACCAGGGCACCCAGGCTCCCGAGAAAACCCCAGCTGAAAACCCAGGCTTCTCTTTCTGAAGGATGTCACAGTACTTGTTTGGGATCTGCATACTCCAATATTTCTGATGGAAGTGGTGGGGAGAAGGAACTGTCTGGCCTTGCCGTCCTGGGCTGAAAGAGCATTCAGGTGTTGCTGTGTTTAGTGATTTGTCACCTTTGTGATCTCGTGACTGGGTGATGCCAGCAGCTCTCTGCAGGGGTTTTTGGGGTGGTTTGCTTGGGGTTTTTTTACATTTGGGTCCTGGACCAATCAGGTTAGATTTTCCTTGTTTTAGAGAAACCTGGATTTAACAAACTGAGATGGCCAAGGGCTTCGCAGGCTGGCTCAGCTCCTTGCTGGTGACACAGAGCCCTGTGCCTAAGGAGGAGACAATAGCAGCTGCAGCGATAATTGTGTGCGGCTTCCTGGGAACAATGGACTAAGAATATGTTAAGGCTCTTCCCAGGAAGGATCCGCCTGTGCCTGAGGCTCAGATCCCTCCTGACAGGTGACTGTTCCTAGCAACTTTGACAAAACCCTGACAGCCCTTTTAGGCAAATGAAAGCCTCGCTAAGGAACAGGTCTCAGAGGAGGCACTTTGCTGAATTCACTTGATGAACTGGTTCTCATTTGGAAGGCAGGATCCTCTGGTTGGATGAAAAGCTTCTTTTGTCTGCTATTTCTGTTTCTTAGCTCGATAATTATGAAAAAAAAAAAAAAGTGGTTTAACTATTTTGGGTTGGAACACAGCTTGGTTGTTGCAAAGAGCTGCTGGGATGAGCACGTGTGGGGTGAGGTTAAATGTGGAATCGCAGAATGCCCTCAGCTGGAAGGGACCACAAGGATCATCCAGTGCAACCCCTGGCTCTGCACAGCCACCCCCACAATCCCACCCTGCGCCTGAGAGTGTTCCCCAAATGTTCCTGGAGCTCTGGCAGGTAGAACTGCATCATGTGGGGTCTGTTTCAGACTTCATGGCTCAGCTGGTGCAGTTGAGTACTCCACTTACACCTCCTCCCTTTTTTTTTTTCCTCTTGATATAAAGTACTGTGATTGATTGAAATTATTTGTATTTTTTATTCTTTTGGATTTATATAATGCTAGATCTAATAACTGAGTTACTTTTAACTCTTTATTGTTGCAGCTGCACTTTAAAACATGGTACTAGTGATGATGGAGCAGTAAGTGACAGGGCTCAAATCTTTTATTGTGGTTCCCAAAGGAAAAATAAGAGAAATGAAACGTGTTATTCCATATTAAATTGATGACTGTAGCATTTGAAAGCAGTTGGGACAATCAGAACTGCATTTTTAATTAATAAAAAATATGTAGAAGAATTAATAAAAAAATGCAGAAGCTCAGTGAGCTGCCATCTGCCCAGTGGCTGCTGAAGAAAAACAACGTCCAGAATAAAAATCCCTTCTTTTCTGTTCCAAAACAGCTTCCTTGAAAGAGAACTCAAATTCACAATTAGAATTTGTATGATCAAAGGTTGGACTTGATGGTCTCTGTGGTTTTTTCCCCACCTTAATGATTCTCTGAATTTTCTTATCCTTGATAAAGCAAAGCTGTAAATGTTGAGTGTGTTTCTAAGAATAGCATTCCTTTGATGACATAATGGTTGAATCTTTTGTTCTTCCCATAGGCAGAGAAATTTGGTGACTCCTTTGTGTTTGAGGGGATGCTGAGTGAAGCAGTGAAGGCTGACATCCACCAGGCAGTGAGTAACACAGCAGGGGGAAACTCCCTGAGCAATCCCTGGGCTCTGTTGGTAATCACAGCAGCGAAAAGGAAACTCTGTGATGTCCCCAAAGCCAGGGGCAAAAATGGGGATTGTGGAGAGGGTTAGGCCTGGATTCATGGACTGAAGTGGGGTCAATTTGCAATCTATTCTCTGTCCTTTCTCTTTAAAAAAACAATTAAAAACATCAATTCCTGATTAGCAAAAGTTGGTATCAGCCCATTGTTGTCTCTTTTTGCCCCCTACCTGAGAAGTTCAGGCTGAGTCTGTAAGATTCCTTATGTTGTGAATGGCTGAAGATTTTGATGTTTCCTCCTTTTCTACAGAAGATCCTGTGTTCATTTGCTGCTTTTCCAGCTCCCCTCATCCCCATCCCCAGTGATCCTGGGAGGAGCAGTGCTGACTGCTCTGGAGCTGATCCCGTTTTCCCTTTGGCTGGAAGTGAATACTGCTTTAAAAAGAAAGAAAATTCTGTAGTAGATCTTCCCTGCCCTCCTTCCCCTCTTTTTCTGTTGTGAATGTGTTGCTGAGCCTTCCTCAGGCTTCATTTACCTCCTCCTCAACAGTTCAGGTCCCCTTTGCAGCTCTTGGCAGATAAGCAAATTGTGTCCTGTCATCTCCTGGATGAGTTGATCTGCTCTGAGCACAGGTTTGGACAAAATCACCTCCTGAGGTCCCCTCCTGTCAGAATTCCCTCATCTCTGATGGGGCACAGCTTGATTTTTGTTTCTAAGGGGCAGCCTGAGAAAAAGGAAGCCCTGTGTGAGTGTGTGCTGTGAGGGACTGGCAAAGAATGTGGGATTTGGGTTCTTCCTGCCAGGGAAGGAAGATTACAAGTGCAGTTTGTAATCTTTTAATTCAGGTCTAACATTTGTGCACTGGGAGAGATAAGGCTAAATTGCAGTTCCCACCACCAGCATAACTGATGCTAAATCCATCCATGGATTTGTTCTGCCTTCATAAAATAATAAAAAAATACAAATAAAAAAATGAATGGCTGATCCCATCTTCCCAGCACTCAGTATTGGAGAAATTCCTTTTCCCGTGTAGTTCTGTGATGCAGAAATCCCTAAATCAGGTTCTCTTTTTTAAAACAAACAAACAAACCCCAAGAATGCTGCTGTAAGCTCAGCCTTGGCAATTTTATAAACACAGAGTGTTGGGAGCTGCTTTCCTGGGGGTGTCAGCCAAATTTCCAAGTGTTGGCTGCAGTGCTCACAGGACAAGTGTTATGCCAGAGGCCTGGAATGGAGCCCAAACTGGTCTTATTTGGCTGCTGCTTCATGAAGGTTTTTTGGAGTTGTTAAAAGTAAACTTGCTGTTAAAAGTCACCTTCTTCAATCATAACTATCAGATGAAAAACAGAAATAAGATATAAATATTGGTGTGTTACTGGCACTGAAAATCCCTCCAAGCAACCAATGGGAGAAAGGATTGTGGTTTTCCTTTGCCTCGGTGGCTCAGGAGTGTTTTGACAAGGATTTTCTGCAGCTGAAGCACAGGGATGTGAAATGCAAATGTGAATACAGGGGAAGAGCATCAGGAATGTAATTTTTTTAAGCAGTATTACATATGCAGTGAAATAACTGGGGAAAGGTGAAAGGTACCAAACTAAATAATTTATAAATGATGAGCTGTGTGTGTCTGTTGGGGTTTTTTGCTCTGTTTGGCCACTTTGTCCTCTCCAGTTTTTAAAGCAGATTTCTCAGAGCCTCAAAGCCAAGGGCTGAGGGCAGAGCTGGGGCTGGTGGCAGCTGCTGCAGGAGTGCCCCAGCTGAGCACGTAGGGTGATTGTTGGAGCTCTGGGTGTGCCTTTCCTGGAGGTGAGGTGGGCTCCCAGATAGCCACTGACAGGGATGTGGGCTGGCCTCAGCCTCTGGAAGGGAAGCAGTAAAAAGGGGTGTAGCAGCCAGTGATGGAATTGTTGCAGATTTCTGGGAACTCAAGTTTTAGTTTTGGCGTCCCAGTTTGTGGTGGTCACGTGGCAGAGAGGGAGGGTTTAGTGCTGTGCCAGATGAGAGCTCCTCCAAATGGAAAAGGATTTTGTAGGATGAGGGTGGAAGGTCCTTTGAAGCTGAAATTATTTGTGTGGCTTAAAACATTACTAGAGTTTCACATCTTAAATTCTTCACTTGCAGAGAGTGAAGGAGAGGAGAAGGGGAGAGCTTAAAGCCCCTGCCAGAGCCTAAAGGGGCTCCAGAAAAGATGGAGGAGGGCTTTGGAAAGGGCCTGGAGGGACAGGACACGGGGAATGGCTTCCCACTGCCTGAGAGCAGAGTTAGATGGAATATTGGGCAGGAATTGTTCCCTGTGAGGATGTGAGGCCCTGGCACAGGTGCCCAGAGCAGCTGGGGCTGCCCCTGGATCCCTGGCAGTGCCCAAGGCCAGGCTGGACATTGGGGCTGGAGCACCTGGGACAGTGGGAGGTGTCCCTGCCATGGCTGGGGGGCACTGGGTGGGATTTAAGGTCCCTTCCAACCCAAATAATTCTGTAATTCCATTTGATTCTGAGGGGATTTGAGAGCTCTTGCCAATCCCTGCAGGAGTTTTCCTTGCTGTCCAGGTTCTGTGGAAAAGGGAACCAGGATGGCACAACAGGAGAGCAGCCCGTCTTTGCTGACTGGAGAGTAGTGGGGACATTGTTATTCTTGGCTCATGGAAGGCAGAAAAATTAATTTTTGCTTCAAGGCCAGATAAATTCTGCACTGAAGAGGCTGTGAGCATACAAATGTATGTGCTGCCTTTGTTGTAAGGGTATGGAATTTTGGGTCTGGAATGCAATGGAATTGGCTCACTGGCAGCTCAAGCAAACACGCAGTTCTGCCCAATCCAGAACTATGGGATTTCATCCCTGTTTGTATGGAAATCTCTGCAGTGGCCTGGAGCTGTGCAATGTGCCTGTTTCATAACAACCCCAAACTGAAACATTCTGCATTTCAGCTGAACATCTCCAAGTGCTGCTGAGAGGAGCCCTGGTTGCAGGTAGGACAGCAGTGCCAGTGTGGGCAGGGTGAGCTGTTCCTCACAGCCCCCAGTGCTTCAGCTCCTCCCTGCCAGGAGCTGCTGAACTGCTCATCTGTGGGTTTTTGTGCTCTACTCCCACTGCTGGGATAAAGAAGGATGTGCGGGAATTCTCCCTGGGAATTGCCAGGAATATTAGCCCGTGTTTATCAGAGCTGCAGCGTTAAGGCAGGCTGTGGTTTGTGCCTCAGGCTGGGGAGAAATCTGTGCACATCTCGTTTCCTTCCAGCTCATGTGCACTTGGTTATTGGAAAAAAATGACCAACTGGAGTGCAGATTTAGATGTTGGCTGGAAATGAGACTTCCAGAGGTGTCTGCCTTCACCAGGAATATCAGTTCCTCAAAAGAAGCTTCTTCTGATTCCAAAACTTGCACTTAATGAATCTGACTGGATTTTAGCAGCACATATTTGTGGTTATTTTTCTTGGAGGATTGACAAGGCTGTGAAGTTTTACACTGTCTGAACTGAAGTTCAATGACCTTTCCTTATGCAAAAAAAAAAAGGTCCCTTCATAAAAGTGCTTGTTTCCAATCAAGTCTGAAATATTTTTTGTAGCTGATGACTTACAAAGTAAAATTAAATGTATTTTAAAGCTGCTGCCTTTCCTTGGTGTGCAGTTTCAAACTGCTGTAAAACACTGGATTTTAAGGCAGATAATCTCAATATTCAATATTAAACAAACCCCCTTGTTGCTTCAGTTTCTGAGCTTATGAGGGAGGTCATTAACGTTAGAACATAAGAGTGAGAACAGATTCTTCTGTAATTAGAGCTTTGGGGGAGCTGGGACTTTTAATTGATGGAATAAATAGCATGGGAATTGCAGGAGCTGACAAAATCAGGTATTCACAGAACCCCAGGCTGGCTGGGCTTGGAAGGGACCTCTGGAGATCCAGCCCCTGATACAGGTGTGGGTTACCTGCTGGACAAATCCTCTGCTAATTGTGAGTTTGGGTCTGTGTGTGACAGAAGTTCCCAGTCCTGGCTCAGTTCTTGTCCATAATTACAGCAGGTTTGTTCTCTGCAGGGACAAAGAAGTGGAACCATTGCACAGTAATTATTTTTATTTCTTAAACTTCTCACCCTACTAAAAATGTTCCATTTTCCATCTGCCTCTTTCTTTGATAGTTCATTAATCAGTGCTCAAGGTTTAGGATCTGGCTTAGAGGAGGGAAAACTGTCAGAGATTTATGTGTATCTGCGTTACATGGATAAAATAAAACCACGTCCAAAAATTACCTTCTTTACTGAATAACAAGCTTTTTCTCTCATCCTACCAATGCTAGCAAGATCCTTTTGCATATTAAAGATGTATAGAGCTTAACACCATCTGATTCAAACAAGTGGTAACCTATTAACTCAGCTTCTGTACTGGAGTGGTTTTTTAAGAACCCACCACTTATTAAATTATTCTAAAAGTGGTTTCCAGACTTGGGCTACTTTTCACTCATAATCTCTTTTCACACTTAATTCTGAAGTTCTTACTCTGCAGTCACTTGTTTTTTTCCCAGCTGTTTATCCTGAGATGGTGTAAGGTGGCTTTGCTACATTAAAATAGCATTAGAATGCTGTAGCACAAAAAAAGATGATGTTTGGTGCCTTATGTCTGGACAGCAGCATGAATTTGTCATCCTTTTGTGGGCCTGACTTAAGGTTCAAATGTACAGCTGTGTTATTTCAGAGGATTTGCTACTTGATGGAAATGTTGGAGTCTGAGCCATGATGAGCTACTCTGTTGAGTTTTTTTGGTAATTTTTTGAATACATAAATCTGATTTGAATTTGAGATTTGATCCTCAAATGAGGGTTGTTTTTCTCAAACATGGCCTGTGTCATATTAGTGGAAGACTAATAAATGTTTTTATGGCTGTGAGCTGGGTGGCTTTGGGGTGGTTTTTAGGAGCATTCCCCTACTGCAATAACAGCAACAGAGTAATGCTGACACTTGGTGATGTTCCCCACTCCAATTTTTTTTTCCTCCATACATTTAGGGAGGAATTTTCCTCAAGGTAATTATGAAGTAGTTTAAAAATCTTGTAATGGAGCAATTAAAGTTAGGCTGTCCCAGCCTACTTGGAAAGGAGAATGGAATAGTTGGAAGGAGAGTTTTCTGCAGGCTGTTAGTGGGAGTTCAGGCTTCAGCTCTGCAAATTGCTCCGCCCCAGCGCAGAGCTCGTGGGTCGGAATTAATTGTTCGAGCTCTTCCCAGGGTTATCACACTGGGCTCTCTTTTCACAGCACACTGAGTCTGTGAGAAGCAGAACAGTGAGTTCTTAAGGTTTAATCCTGGAGGGGAGAGCTGGATAATCCCTGTTTCCAGGTGGATCAGACCAAAACAAGGCTTTATGCCTCGGCGTTGCTCTGGGAAGCGTTTCCCTGTGTGCGAGGTTGTAAGGATCGCAGGGCAGGTGTGGGACAGGTGACATGCTGCAAGAATTAACCAGAAGGAAGGGGATTGTCCCCTGGTTTAAGATCTATTCAGCAGCTTCTGCTGCTATTTTGACAGCAGGAATCTGTTGCCAGTGCACAGAACGTGTTTCGGAGGGAAGCAGAACGTGAAGTGTTATGAAAGTAACTAAGCTCATTATTGGCAAGGGAGGACTTGGCTGTATTAACTGTGATGTTGTAATATCTGTCTAATTAGCTCTTCTCCTAATTAGATTTAGAGCAATTAAAAGCTTTAAATACTTGTGAGAAGTTCTGTGAGAGAACTGTAGATTTCAGGTAGGAGATTTCTGGAAGGAGCAGCTCGGGGTGTGCTCTGGAGCCAGGGGCTGCCTTAACTGAGTCTCCAGGTAATTCTTGCAGGCTCTCCATGCTCTCTCCCTGTTTTCCCTGTCCCACACTGGATGTCTGAGTGCTCTGGGTGCTCTGCAGGGCCATTTGGTGCTCAGCTCAGAAGAGCCACAACCTGGAGCTGTGCACACGCAGTGCTTTCCTGTGGAGAGACATTTTTCTTGGGTTAAAATAAACCAGCCTGATTGAAAGCATCTGCTTTTTCTTTTGCATCACAAAAATGTTTTCCAAAATTAAAGTCGCCTAAAGTGTAAATCTTTGCAGTCTCCTGCAGAGATGTTTTTATCCAAAACCCAGCAGTTTAATTTACACAAATATGTTGTGCTTAGAAACTGTCGAAATCTTCCTCGTGATTTTTCAGATTTTAGCTTTAGCAAACGGTTCTGCTGCTCTTTTATTTTCCTTAAATAGCTGTAAAATGCTAATTTTAGATTTCTGTCCTATTTTCAGTGTAGTTTAAAGGTCAAACCTCAATATGGGCAAGGAATTGGTTAAATCAGACTGGTTTTAAACCCCTTGACTGTTGTATCAGTTTAGCAGCTCCCTCACTCTGAAGCTTTAGTGCTGTGAGAGTTGAGCAGGGTGTCTGCAGGAAGCTCTCATTTTGGGGTTTGAAGAGCTGTAATTCCCTGTGAGAGATCAGCTATTTCTCATGCTTTTTGCCAAGGGCAGTGGCAGTGCTTGGGGTGAGAATGTCCTTAGTTAGACACTGAGCCAGAAGGGGGCTTGGCATTGTTGATCTGTGTGTGCTGGGGAGGTCAGAGAGGGTCTGTAAAACCTGTCATGGCCTGGGGGTGCCAGCCAGGGGGACAGCAGAGGACAGGATGCCTGGGTCACCAGCAGCCTGCTGGGAGCATAGTTGTTTCTTTGGGGCTTAACCCTCAGCTGTTCCCTTTGGAAGGGAGGCGTCCACAGCCTGTGTGTGAGCAGCTTCCCAGCCTGCAGGATTCCTGCAGCCTCCTCAGGCACTTCACAGCCCTTCCCAGGGCTCCCAGACGCTGTGGGCTCTGCAGCTTTAGTCCAGGATTGCTGCTGATTTACAGGGAGATTTTGGATACCCTGATGTGCTGAGAGGGGAAGAGGGAAAGATTGCCAGGGGAATGTCAGAGCACAGCCTGATGAAGTGCTCTAAACCCTGGATAATGTCTGTTTGGGCACTTCTGCTGATTTTTCCTACAGAAATATCCAACTGAGGGATTTCATGTGTAGCTTGGACCAGAGTTTTCTCAGCAATTTATGTGTGACACAGATAATCTTTTCTCCCACACACATGCAATTTCATGTTCTGTTGAAGGATGCAGCTTTCCCCTAGAAGCTGCTGTTAAAATTGTTTGACCAGACTGATTCTGGGTCTCCTCAATACCAGCTTGCAGTGACTTTTTGGACTTTGCTCTGAAGGTTTGGTGAGTTAGAGGGTAACACTCTTTGTAACTTCTGTGAATAACACTTGACAAAGTTGGTCTAGGACTAACCAGCCTCTGGTTTGTTTACCTCCTAAAGCATTCCAGGCTTATTTCCTTGGATTTTTGTTCTTTATAGACATTATCTCTGTAATAGGAGTATTTTGGAATCTGCTGGAATAAACCCACTGTTGATGGGTGGCATAAATGTTCCTTTTTTTGCCTCAGTGAAGGCCTCATTATAAAAATAAGTATTTCTAAGTGAACATGAATCACAACAGAGCAGTTAAGCATGACCTCCTGTACTTTTTAGAGGAAATCCTCAAAATATGCCTTCCAGGAAAAACTGCTGGTGTTGAAGCACCAAATTTGGGATTTCTGGTTTGAGAGAGCTGCTCAATGTCTGCACTGCTACAGAGGATTTTGGCTGTGTGATGTTTCCCAGCAAACCAGCTGGGGGAGAAAAGAAAAAAAAAAAGAGAGGCTTCATGCTTCACTTCCCTTGTGTGGTTCTTCTGTCTCCACCTTCTGGAAGCTGAGAGCAAATAATTTAAAATCAGCTTAGTGGGTTAATGACCTGGAAGGCGAATGTGTCGCAAGATGTGTGTTTGACCCCAGCCAAAGGGCACCGTCAGGGGGCTGTTTCAGTCATCTCAAAACAGAGTCCAGAGAGCAAATAATTAGGGTGAAAATGCTCTTTAGGCCAAAATTGTAATTTTTCTTTCCTCTCTGCAGATTGTATCAGACTGAAGTGAGCCAGGAGGTGAAATCCACACAGGCACAGACTGGTTTGGGTTGGAAGGGTTCTGGTGGTTTTTCAGAAGATCCCTCAGCTGGGAATTTAAGTTTCCTTCCCTGCTGCTCTTGTCCTTTTTCAGGTGGCAGCTGCTCCCTGGTGGCTGCCTGTGAAAGGAGCCAGCTGGAAGCACCCTGAGGGCCCTGACTCCAGCATCTCCAGCAGGTGAGCCATGAGCACCCATTCCACCACAAAACCCAGCTGCTGGCTATCCCTGTGGCTCCCACCACCGTGGGGCTGCAGGAAAGGGCTTTTATTTGTCACCTCTTTGCTGCTGCTTCTGGGAGTGTTTTCCCACCTTCTGAGGTGTTGCCTGCAGCGTTCCATGGCCATGGTCAGTGATGTGGGGCACAAAGGTCTGGCAGGACCCTGCTGATGGAGCCTCAGTGCTCGCTGTTCACGTTTGTGAGACACAGCAGATCTCCCAAGGCTCAGAAACTCCAGTGCAAACTGGGTTTGGAGAGGAGGAATAAATCCTCACTGTGTGCACACTCCAGGAGTCTGGGTAGTGTGAACTCTTGCACGTGGGATTTGGAAACCTCTTTCTCTGGCAACAGAGGATTGAAGAGTTTTGTGCTTTTTTTTACTGTATTCAGACTCTATGAAAAATCAGTTGTGACTGTATTGAACCTCTGAATGCTTTGGAAAACTCTGCTTTTCCTTACAGTTAGTGCCACGCTTTGCCTGCACTGAAACTCACTGATCCTTGTCTTCATGTAATTGCTTTCTGTTCTGAAGTGGGATGAATTTTAGGCCCAGAAAATCAAATTACTGTCTTCATTTAGAACTTCTAACATTGCAACTGCTCCTCTCACTAGGCAGGTGTCAATGAAGTTGGCACTTCATCAACTAGTGAAAGTTTCTAACAGCATTTTGAAATCAAATCAGACTCTCTAGCCTAGATCTAGTAGGTTTTTGAGTCCTCTAAGGACAGGACTTCGTTAGTGCACCATCATCTGATGGCTGAAGCACTCAGTAACGAGTTGTCTGCTCTCCAAGGGCAAGGAAAGAATTATCTGAGGCAAAAATAGAGATAATAGCTGGAGGCGTTGTTAGGGGGAGCCTGGAATTGAGGTCAGAGCCAGCAGCCAGGAGCTGGAAACCTGCCATGAAATTCTGGGCTTGTGCAAGGGTGGTGCAAACCTGGCCTGGCACAGCTGCTGGGTGCCTGCCACGTGGAGGTGCCCCATGGATTAACAGGGATACGTTGGATTCCTAAATGGGGCAGGAAAGAGAAGTTCATAGGAAGTTCCTCTCTCTCCTGGACCCTCAGCTCTGGAAGCATCTTGGTCTATTGGAGGCTTGGATGGGGAGGATCCTTCTGCAAGGATGCCTGGGCACTTTTTCTGTCTTTCTGGAAAAAGAGACAAGGATTTTAATGCCAGGAACCAAACCCCAATAAAGATGGGAGCTCTTGTGTAAACTGTGGACTGCTTAAAGCACCCAAGGAAAATCACTTCCCAGCTAAATTTCTGCAGTTCGCTTTGCTGGACTGGATGCTGCAAAAGCTGATGTTGGTAAGACTCTTCGTCATGTCACTTCTCCTTCAAAACTGCACAGCTGACAGCAAGGACTTGACCCAGAGCAGAAGCGCCACAGGGGAGTGAAGAACAATCACCATTAGATTGCAATGTGCATTTTCCTGTTGAGAATCCTGGCTTCTAGCTGAGGTGGCCCATGCCAGGTTGGTCTAACAGTGGTGATCCTGCAGGTTTTCAGTTTCCTTTGGGTCTGCAAGCACCCAGGTTCCCCCAGAGGGCAGGGTGTGGACAGGTCTCTGCTGCCTCCTGGGTGCTGCACCTGTAAATATCTCTAACTGAACCATAAATATCTCTAACTGAACCAGAATTACCTTTAACTGAACCATAAATATCTTTAAGTCTGCAGCTGGATGTAGGAACATGATGAGACAAACAGAAGTTAATTGTTTTTCTCTTCCTTGTTCCCCTCTGATGGCTGCATTTCCCTTCCAGCATTTTGCTGCCTTGCCTTAAGCAGCTCCTTTCCTGTAAGGGTCACCTGGTGTCTGCTCCAGCTGTAACTCCTGTGTGTCCCTGCCTGGGTGTCACATTGTGCTGTGCAGCCCTGAGTGTGCCTGGTGCCCTGAGGAGCCTGTCCTGTTGGTTTTGTTTCCAGAATGGACCATCCAGTCCTTCATGTGTCCTGGAATGATGCCATGGCCTTCTGCAGCTGGGCAGGGAAGCGCTTACCGACGGAGGCTGAGTGGGAATACAGCTGTCGAGGGGGCCTTGAGAACAGGTACCTGTCCCAGGGCTGTCCCTGACCAAGGCTGCACTGGGGTTTGTGAGATGAGGAGGAGTTGAGGGGTTTCTTACCCTCAGAACTGCTCTGCAGCCAGGCTGGGGGAGCTGGGGGTGCTCACCTGGAGAGGAGAAGGCTTCAGGGAGAGCTCAGAGCCCCTGAAAGGGCTCCAGAAGAGCTGGAGAGGGACTGGGGACAAGGGATGGAGGGACAGGACACAGGGAATGGCTTTAAACTTGAGGAGAGGAGGTTTAGATTATTAGGAAAAAGGTATTTATTGGAGTGTGGGCAGGCCCTGGCACAGATTCCCAGAGCAGCTGGGGCTGCCCCTGGATCCCTGGCAGTGCCCAAGGCCAGGCTGGACATTGGGAGCACCTGGGGCAGTGGGAGGTGTCCCTGCCATGGCTGGGGGGCACTGGGTGGGATTTAAGGTCCCTCCCAACCCAGACCAGTTTGGGATTCTGTATAACACTGACTTTTAATTAAAAGTGTTTGACAGCTGCTCTGTTTGTCTTTTCCCAGGCTTTTCCCCTGGGGCAACAAATTGCAGCCCAAAGGGCAACACTATGCCAATATCTGGCAGGGAGAATTCCCCACCAATAACACAGCAGAGGATGGCTACAAGGGGACTGCACCTGTAAGTGTGTCTCAAAGACAATCCAGCATGTGGAAATGATCTTAATCTTTCTAAAACTAAGGTCTGTTGTCAGCAGGATGAGCCATAGCTGTTTTCTATCTCTTTTCTCTTTCATTATAGATTTTAAATTACATTAAATTTCACTGCAGGCTTGAGCATTATCAAGGGACTCTTGTACAAGCTAATTGAAAAGTAAAGATTACTTTGATTTTAACTTCTAGTTCCTCTCAAACTGACCTCTTTTCCCCCTTCCCAGACAGTTTGTAGTCAGAAGCTGAAATACTTTCTGCCTGCACTTCTGGCCTTGCAGTTTCGTGAACTCAAAAATCACACAATAGTTTAAAAGAAACTAATCTTCCCTTTTGGGGAAAGGATGAGCCTGTCTAGTATAACAACCAGAGTGGAATTTTAAAGGCAATCAAGAATGTGAATGAATTATTTAATGGTAGTTAAGTAAGTCCAAAAGTTTCATCAGAAGAGGAGTCTGCACAGGCAGGAGTTGACAGCCACCCTGGCTTTTCCTTGGTGAGAGGTGAGGGAATCTGGGAATGGGGTCAAGTCAGTAATGCCAGGTGTGTCTGCTGGTCAAACAGTGCCTCTCTGGAGAGGGTCAGTCTCCAAAACCAGCAAGGAGATGCTGTGCCACGCTGGGACCTGGTGCTGAGGACACAGAGGTGCTCACAGCTTTCCATCCTGTTCCATTGAAATGCAGGATGTGGAAGCATTCCAGTTCTGCACTGCTGATCTCCTGCCTGCTTTTGGGGCTGCCCAAAGTGCACCTTCAGCAGCCTGGTGTGAGGATTCAAGCCCTGTTCTGTGTGCTCAGAGCTGTGCTTCCTGTCCTGTGCAGGTCTCTGCCTTTCCCCCCAACGCTTACGGCCTCTACAACATGGTGGGGAACGCCTGGGAGTGGACATCTGACTGGTGGGCTGTGCACCACTCCCCACAGGAGCTCCACAACCCTGTAAGTGTTTGCTTGGCTTTGTGTTGAGCACAGAATGCCCTCTGGGCCTGGGATCCCGTTCCTGTTCTGTGCTCCTGGCGTGGGCTGTGTCCTGGGGGAGCAGCAGAGCACAGCTCATCCACGCTGCAATTACAGTGCTCTGGTGCAGTTTTTGTGGGGTTTGGTTAGTTGTCCACACCTGGTTAGCCAGTGAATACTTCCAAACTAGCCTCATATTACAGCAATCAAGAATTTATGGAATGACTTCTTTAAAGAAAAGAAGGTTTTTAATTCATTTATATTGCTAGAAGCTGTACTTATTTTCCCCATCCCAGGCAGAGAACAAACCATTGTGAGTTATCTTTCTGGCTTCTGGTAGCTTGTTTTAAACTAAACATGAGATAAAACTGAGGTTTAGGAGAAGTCACCAGGTTCTGAGAGGTGAACCTTTGCTTTCCTCTGTGGCAGGCAGATGGAGGGTCCTGCAGGGTGAGAGCTGTGGGGTCACTGATGCTCTGTCTCAGCAGATTCCAGTTCTGTGTTAGATCTGCTCCTCTCCCAGTCAGCCAGGATGAGCAAATCCTATGATTTGTGACAAGTAAGGCCACATAGAGTTTGTCACTCTAAACCCCACCAAATACAGTGGTTTTTATTTCCTTACAACGTCCAAAGCACTTGCAGGTTTATTTTTACTCCTGGTAATTACTTGTGAAGGCAAGACAATCAGTCATGAACCCCCCCAACAATCTGTGTGCAGAATTCCATCCATTCCTTGTAACCAATCCCTAGCATAGCCCAGCTCTCTCCAGTGCTAGAAAGCTGCTTTGAAGATTTTGGGTGTTAAACTAAATATGTTAAAAAACTTTGCCTGAGCTCTGACCCTCTGGAAGAATTCAGAGTCTTTTCAGCCCAGAGGACAGATCCTATATTTAGGTTATACTGCCTTGTGCTCTGCAGAGACTGGAGAGCTGAGCTCTGATAGATCTGGTGCTAATCAGTTCTAATGTCTCAGAAGATAACTGCAGCCTGGCTATTTTGGGACACCTTTTCACATGAGGAGATTCAGTTTCTTTACCCATTTAACCAGAAAAATCCTTTGGAATTCACTTTGAAGTGCTCTGCCTCAGACACTGGATTCTGACAATCAGTTTGTATCTGAAAACCCCCTGAAAGCCTCATTGTTAACACCTAGCTTTTAAATACTTTCTGAAGTGTCTGTGTTTTAAACTTCAGCAACTCCTGGAGGTTAACAGAGAACAAAATTCACAAGAGAGTTGTTCCCCACTATCACCTTAATCCAGCAGGGAAGCAAAGCTGCAGCTTTGGCATCATCAACACAAAAATGTCTCAAATAGACATAATGGAGGTGCCTCCCTGCAGTCACAGAATCCCAGAAGGGTTTGGGCTGGAAGGACCTTAAAGCAGGGCAGGGGCAGCCAAAACTTCTCTGGGCACCCTGTGCCAGAGCCTCCCCACCCTCAGAGGGAAGAATTTCCTCCCTAAAAATGTAACTGATCCTTTAGCAGAGAGAGCCAAGTGTGTGTGTGAGGTCAGTCAAACCACAGTCCCTTTAGGGCTTATTTTGTGGTGATTTCTGGCTCTGATTGTTTTGATTGAGCTGCAGTTCTCTGTTTGAAAACTGATTTCTCTCAACACAGAGTAACCATATGGCTGTGCACTGAAAATCACCATGCACCATCAGAAAACATTTGTTTGATGTAATGAAAGAAATAGAACTTTTTTTCATTAACAAAAAAAAAAAAACCAAAAAGCTTTCTGCTTTTTTTTTTTTTTTACTAACTTTTAGAAGAACAATCCTACTTTTATGAGCTTTGGTAATGGAATGCACAAGCACTTATGTAATCAGACTGGAATATGGCTGTTGCAGTATTGTAGTATGGAACAACCTTGCTAATTTACAGTAAACTCTGGGGTTTAAATCCAGGATCAAAGTCTGGACAGCTCTGGCCCTTTGCAGCAAGCAGCCAACGTCCTTCCCCTCCAGTACCAGCTGGTGCACTTCTCCAGGTCAGGCCATCAAACAATGGTGCTTGATAGAACAGAGATCTGCTTGTTTTAATCAAATGTGGCCTTAATTGCTGGGCTGTGATTAGCTTTATTGAGGGGAAGCACAGCCAAGGCAGTTTACTTCATCTCTAAAGTGAGATATATGCACAAGAAAATATTAACACTGCAAATGCTGGTGATATCTATTGGTTTTCTCATTTTCTGACATCTTTGCCAGTTGTTTTATGATATAAACTCTTTACCTTCAGTGATTTTAAATAAGAGAATGATGTTTTTTAATAGAATAGATTAATGGAGGACACCACAGCAGATTTCTGCAGGTGCTGAAGTGTTTCAGGGCTGTAATCCTCCTTCAGAGGATGTGGGGGTCAATTTAAGTTGTTTTTTTTTTTGTTACTAGATAAGCTTTGAGGCTCAATTTTTGCCTGGTGGAAGAGATTTGTAGTTAATAAAAAGATGCACTTATGAGCCTTTGGTTCACCCACTGCTCAGTACAGGTCAGCCCTTTGTAACTGCTGACACATGATAGATTTAGGACTTTCTAACCCCAACCAAAAAAGTTCCTCTTGGTTTATAAAAGTGTCTTTGGAGCCAGTAGCACAGATTGCTGCTCAGCATTGCACATTTAGGGGAAATCCTGCTCCACAGCCCCATTGTTCTGCTTTGTCTTGTTCCCATGGAACTTTTTTTAGGTCAGTTTTCTCCTGGCTTCCCTTAAAATGAGATTACCAGGCTGGGTGATGACTGTGCTGGTTAGAGGCTTATCTCAGAGCAGGGACTGTGCATCCACGTGCAGGTGTTGTGAGGACAATTTCCAGAGGCCTGGGAGTGGGAGCAGGGCTGTGGAAGGAGCGGATGCTGCCCCAGGGTGTGGCTTTCCTTCAGTAGTTGTGTGCCATTAAATGCAGTGATAGGCCAAATTCTTTTTCACAATTTGGGCAATAAACATGGAGCTGCTGCAGTTTGTGTGGTGAGCTTTCACACAAAGCAGTCAAACTCAGGGGGTGCAGGCAGGAGCTTCTGGAGTACCAACATCAACACTCAAGGTTTTCTGACAGTCTCTGGGATTTATGTCCAGTTGCAAACCTCTTCTGGGGTAGATTCTTCTAGAACATCACCCTGGTAATTCAGACCTGGGTGGGAGGCAACCCCTTGAGACAGGGTAGGAGAGTGGGATCTGTGCCAGGTGTGACCAGACTGGTCACTGAGGAAAGCTGGAGCTGCTTTCCATCCTGGTAAAATCCCCTTTAGGAACCTGCCTGTTGCCAGGCACCATCAGTGGGCAGCAACTGGAATGTGAAATATTTGCAGCAGTGGGGAGGGAGCACAGTTACTGTCACCTGCAAATCCTGTAGGGCAGAATGATTCCAAGCTGTCTGGAATATTTATGGTTGCTCCTTCTCCATCTCCCTGCTCCCTGTAATGAGCAGTTATTCCCTGAGTACTGACCAGTGTCCTCCCCTCCCCAGAAAGGGCCGTCCTCGGGCACGGACAGAGTGAAGAAGGGTGGATCCTACATGTGCCATAAGGTAACGTGCTGTTTTCATGTTCCTCTTCCCTCTGAAAGCACTTGACCATGAAATGATCCTCTGACAGAGTTTCCTGGATGCTTGTCAAAGGGTTTCATGGAATTTATGAAGAGCAACACCTGATGTTCCTAAGGATCTCTTTTTGCTTAGCTTGGAATTAAAACAAGTAAGTTTTTTTAATCAGTATGGGTTTTAGATGCAGAACTTAAAGCTGATGTGAGCTTCTAATGCTGTTTTCATGATAAAGCTTGAGTGAAACTTGTCAGAGTAGAAAGCATGGATGTGACTTTATTTTTTAAGTTTTAGAATGGCTTTTGATGTGGAAAGGATATGGAGCTCTGAGAAACCCAGTCTAGTGAAAGGTGTTCCTGCCCAGGGCAGGGGGATGGGACTGGATAAGCTTTAAGCCCTTCAATCCCAAATCCTGTTATAATTCCATGGTTCTGTGATATCAGGTGTTTGCAGAGCTGGCTGGGAGATGAAGTGTTTCAGCTGAGTTGATGCCATATCTGAAAATCCTTCAGAACAGCCAGGATGTCACCACAGAGCCGTGGCTGTTCATGACACAAAATTGTGTTTTAACTCTGCTCGTGCAGTGCTTGAAACCCCTCATTGTAGAGCTCCTGTTTCTGAAAGCTGCCCTGCTCTTCTTCCCTTGCAAAGCCTGTGGCTGGCAAATCACTCTCATAATTAGATTTTCTACAGCGAGATCCCATTTTCTACACTGATTTTCTTCTTGGGTGAAATCAATGTCAGATGTTAATTAGCAGTTTTGATTAAATTAACACTGGAATAGGCTCTTCAGTGATGAATAACATGACCCATTTTGAAGGTTTGTGAAGATTCTAGCCTGCCCTAGTCTTTTTTTGTAGGTGATGAAACTAGGCTGTGTATTGAGACAAAACCCACTGACTACTGTTAGTACAAGGGCTCTTTATTAGGTGCCTGATGTCTGCACAGACTGATCTTTGTGTGCTGATGCTCTTCTCCCTCTCAGAGCTGACAGAGTCTGAAGTTGCACCTTTTTCCATCCCATACCAAAAGTCTGACATCTCGTTCAGGGAAATGTTTCCAGGCAGGTGCCAGTACCTGTCCATTCCAGTGGGGCTTTAGCACATGGATACCCAGCTCTGAGGGGAAGCTGAATGGTTGTTCTGGCTTTTTCCCAGAGCAGGAAGGATTATTGGCTGATACTTTAGCAGACACTTTGCCATTTTTGTGTCAGCTGCTGTGTGTGTAGGATCCCCTCATCTCTAACGCAGCGATTCCCATCCGTATCACTTCACTGATCTGTCCCACAGCGAAGGCAACGTTTTGCTGTATTAATCTAACTAATTAATCCGTTCATCTAACAAGCTGTTGCCTGAGGAACCCCAGCTGTGCTAAGAAGCTCCCTTTCTGTGTTGCTGTGCAGTCCTACTGCTACAGGTACCGCTGTGCAGCTCGGAGCCAGAACACCCCCGACAGCTCCGCGTCCAACCTGGGCTTCCGCTGCGCCGCCGCCGCCCCGGGGCCGCGCTGACACGGCCACGCGCCCGGGGACAGCAAGGGCTGTGCACCCCAGGGAGAAGAAACGTCAGCTGCATCCCTTGGTGATGACACACAACGGGAAAACCTTGCTTGAAGTTCCTGCTGAGGGAAGAAAAACCAGCACGACTCAGTGGCGCTTGGAGAACCTTCGTGTTCATGAGCAGCTCCTGACCGGAGTGTTTTGGATTCAACTGGAACCAAACTGAGCAGAAACATGCCAATCGTGTTTTCAAAGATTACTTAATCCCTGTATTACTCAGGCTGGAAAAGAGCTCCAGAATTATTGAGTCCGACCCTTGACTGATCACCACCTGGTCAACTACGAGTTCCTCCTTAGACAAGATCTTTATTAATCAGTTTTATTTATGTAGAGCTTCTACACTTAAATGCAATAAGCAAAGACTTTGTAAACATCTAGACAGTTTTAAAAGAAATTCTAGGCAGTTAGGAAATTCTAGGCAGCTTTGAGAGAGAATGAAGGAGTCAAGAATGAGGGCTGGGAGATGACAGCTCTCCCCACAGGCAGCTCGCCCTTTGTTACATTCCACTTGCAGTGAAAATCATGTCCAGAAATGGGCTTCTTCTGAGGAGATACTTGCTGCTCTTTAGGAAGTGCCTTCTGCAGCTGAGGGTGATGATCCTCAGGCTGATTATGATTAGAAATCTTGTACATATTTGAATAAAATATCAAGCATTTGTTTATGCCAAAGACTTTTATTGAAGGAAAAACACTATTTCCTCTGAATTTCTTGGACGCAGTGTAGGCTTATTTTAGGGACTTGGAAAATGCAAAAGTGGCCTCATTAGAAACTGAAGCTAATGAATGATTCCACTTGAATAAAAGTCATGGAAGTGACGGTAGATGGAACTATGAGCCCTAAGACCTAATAGGATAAATTTCTAAACTGTTTTGTTGAAAATAAAATTCCTCACTGAAAAGGAGAGGAATTTTAGCAAGAAGAGGAATGGGAGTAATTGAAAGCAGCCTCATTTGGGGATCGGAATGTAACAGTGGACTAACAAAAGCCTTGGCACTGCTGCTGGTCCTTGCCAGCTGTAGAAAACTGGGTTTGGCTTTAATGCAAATCCATCACCTGCCAGCTCCTTCTGCACTGGTTTCACGTTGAAAAGATGACACAGGAGAATGCCTGCAGAGCCCTTCACCAAACAGCAGCCTCCAGTGGGCTCCAGGTAAGCCCAGCAAGCAGAAAAACCTGTTCCAGGACACAGCATGACATGGCACAATATTGAGATATTGGTAATTAATACTGCACTCAGAGGAGAAAGGAGGAGGGGGGATCAGAGGAAGCTCTGAGCCTTTTGAGCTGTTTGATTGGATCCGTTGTGGTAGAGCACACTGAGCTGTGAGGGGCAGGCTGGGGCTCTGAAACTGAAAGGAGCCTGAAGGGGAAAGTGAACAGAAATTCAGCAGATACAACAAAGGGTCTATTTCTTTTCTAGTTTCTTGACAGGGAATTTTTTTAGTAGGATTTTGGTCCACTGTCCCAGGCAGCTGCAGTGCCAAGGTATGGTGGAGTATTATTCATGTGCTGTATGGAAAAAGGCCATTAACAACTGTCAGGACAGTTTAGAACTCAATTAACAATTATTTTGTTTTTGCAAGGCTTTCAGAGTGGCTGTTTTGAGCAGTCCCACACTGTTCCAGTTCTGTGCTGGGAAGTTTGCTCTAAGGAGATAAATTGGGATCAGGTCACTGGCCAGGAGCTGCAGCACTGAGGGGTCAGATTGCAGGGACAGAGGGCTCAGGTGTGCTCCTGCTGGAAGGCTGTGATCAAGGACCAGATATTGCTAAAGGTGGTTGGATTTCTTTTTAATCTGCACTTCCTTAGCTACTCAAAATCGTGCCAAGTGCATACTCATAACAGGAAGGTAACAAACGATGCTGTCATCCTGAAAACGAGGAGTGCAGATGCTTTAATACTAATCTTGAAACTTCTCAGGAGGGACAGAGGAAGTGGATTGGATCATCTGCTCCAGCCCTGTGGTCCCAAAGTGGCTGGTGTGATGCCTTTCCAGGGAGAAAACCAGATAAAACTCTCCTCTATGCAAGAGACCTTGCAGGCCAGGCTGTGCTCTGGAATCCTGTGCATTCCAAGGTATGGGATCCAGGGAGCTTCCCTCCTGTAACAGCAGGAACCCTAAGAGGCAAGGAGTGAAGTTAATGTCCACTCAGCCTGGAAACTACTTCTGACAAGCAGCTGAAATGCTTTGTAAGGTTTCTGCACTGACAGAAATGAGACTTAATGATTAACTCTAAGAGAAATCACGTGGTAATGTTTATCTTAACATAACCCCACAGCCGTGTGTAAACCCCAACAGCAGCAGAAAGGCACTTAAATGGGAGAGGTTAAACCTGCATCTTATCGAGGAAGCAAGGGTAAACACCAAGTAGGGTTTTTTTTAGCAAATAACAAAATGTCCCTTATCCCTGGTCACAATCAGGATAATCAGAGAGGTTTGGGTTGGAAGGGACCTTAAAGCTCATCTTGTTCCAACCCCTCTCCCCAGAGCAGGGGACCTTCGATTTGTTCAGAGCTGCATCCTTGAATTATTCTGATCATATTTGAATAGGAAAGTAAATCTCCCAATGAATATTGAAATATTGAGAATCATTGCTGCTCTTTGAGAGTAGACAGGATTACAGAGAGCTCCCAGTTTTTAGCTGTTTGCCTGGATTCCTTGTGGAAGAGCACCCCGAGTTGGGAGTGACAGCTCAGTCCTTCAGTGGCACCAATCTTTCAGATCCAAATCTGTAATTTAAAAATGAAGTTACTGATCACCTTTAGAACAGCTGATCCCCATGAGATGTACTCCCTTGTGTGTGTTATGTCAAAGGGTATGGAAACAGCTAAAGATCAAACTGTCCAGAGCAAATAACCGAGGGTTTGTGCTGCTGCTGGCACAGTGTGACACGAATAAACCACTGCATTGCAGTTTATCCATCTTAAAGATCAAAACCAGCCGCTGTGAAGCTGCCTTAATTTAATATTTGCAGAAAGGAAGTGAAGGAATGTGCAGTTACAGAATGTGCCCATCTGGCAGTGCATCCCTGGTGGAAGGAGGTGTTCAGAAAAACCCTGCATAGCTGCTGGAGCAGGACAGGGATGATGCAAAGAAAGTGACGTGCTGGGAAAGGCCAGGCCTTGCTTAATGCTGCCTGGCCCTGGAGTAGTGAAAACATAGATCAGTTAGGAGCTGAAAGAAGCCTTGTGCATCCATCAGCTGTTCAGCACAAAACCACAACTCTGCTGTTGTTCAGATGCACTTCTGTATTTCTGCTTTCAGTCAGCTGTCAGCATCATCCTGCTTCACGCAGCAGCGGCTGGATTGGCTTCCTGAGCATGTACTGACAGTGCTGGGGATGTGCTGCTTGTTGTGACTGCAGAGATCTGATGGGAGCAGCCTCGAGGCTGAGGTGATTAAAAAGATGGGAGGTTGTGCTCCTCAGAAACTGCTGTCCTGCACCACTTCAACAAAGCTAAATGGGAGTGAAACAGCCAGTCTGTCACAGCTGCTTTGGGCATGCAGCTACACGGGACATACCAAGTAGTAAAGCTACTCTTTGCTTTTATGTCAATAATTAATAGTTACTGTGCTTTGGGGAACAACAAAAAAATACAGCAAGTAGTTTAAAAACAATAATTTAATGGATTTTAAGAAGCTTAATGCCTTTCTTGCAAGGGTCAAGGTTCATGGTGTCATTTTCTTGTGCCACTGCCAGTAACTTTACTTGCTGTTATCACATGTCCTGTCCATGCAAAAGTGTTAAAGGTATTAATTCTTTCTGAAGGGTTCAAACTGAGAGAGCTGCTTTAACATACAGCAAGCTGTCAGAGGAAAACCAGATAAAACCACCAGGCCTCATTTAGTCACTGATTTTGGAACATCTCAAAGCTCCAATAATCCCATGTACTGTCCACCTTGGAAAGGGTTTTGCAGAAAATTAATTCTCGAGACATTGTCTCTTTGCTGCTCCTCACACCTCACGTCCTTCCTTGTTGGAACAGAATGAGTTTGATGTAACTCTTTGCTAGAGAAAATAGTGGTTTTTAGGTGTGTTTAAGGCTGAAAGGCTATGGAGAACTCGGAGGTGTGGAGAAGAGGGAGCTGTCCCAAGGTAAGAAGGAAGCACACGTGCGGGAACCACAGTAGCAAGGCTTTCTCAGGCTCTTCTCTTCCTCCGGAGGTTTGTGCTCTCTGCTAGCTCTTGGTGAATTATGAAATCTTCCAGAGTAATCATATGAAAGTTCCTCTCCAGCAGAAATATCAGCAGCTGCAAAAAGTGCCAGTTTGGGCACCATGGAGTCAACTCTCACGGGCACCATGAACAGGTTGGGTTCACAGGAGTGGTTCAGAAACCTGCCCACGTTGCCGATGCGGGTGGGATCCACGAAGGTCTCCATGACGCGCCCGTCGTGCAGGTGCTCCCTCACTGCTATGATGTAGTTTGGCTCCTCTGGAGTCTGGGCCTGGATTCTCCTCTGGGCCTCAGCAAAGCCCAGCACCTCCCCAGCATACTCACACACGAACCTGCCCCTGGGGACGGGCTCCAGCGTGCGCACTCCCCAGCCCTTCCTCGGCGTGCGGAACACCTGCAGCCGCAGCTGCAGCCCCCGCTGCACCAGCCTGTTCTGGCAGCTCTCCCCACAGCAGCACAGGCTGTTGCACTCAAACACGGGCCTGGAGAAGGGCTGCTCCTGCTGCTCGAGCAGCCTGAGGCCCAGGCTGCTGTAGTTGTGCCCTCGGCGCAGGCAGGGGCACTGGGGCAGCGCGCAGGAGCTGCTGCGGCACGAGCAGCCAGGGAAGGTGACTTCAGTGGGATCCAGCTCTCCGTCTGCTCCGGCCACGCTGTCGGGGCTGTACTGCAGACAGAGAACAGCAGTCAGAGCCCTGGCACCAGCACTGATTGAAAACAGGATTTAAAAAAGTCTGTGACTGTAAATGACCGATCCCAGAACTCAAATCATGAACGCTTCGCTTTTCAGTAAACCTCCAACATTTGTCTGAAATGTTTTAAACATTACAAATCAGGTATTCCATACAGACCAAAAACCGAGTGATAGTCTTGTGAGTGCCTGAGTTTCTCAAAATAGTCCCCTGGCCACAAAAAATGCTTAGCAGAAAAAAATCAGTTAGATCTACCCTACTATATGTGATTTTCATTTATAGAGATAACAAAGATATTTATTTATGGATGTATTTATTTGCAAAATTATCAAGTTAAGGTAATTCTCCCCACACTTGAAAATGCTCAGTAAATTATTTCTAAGGTTAATCTACAGCTCTTCTAAGCCACACAAATTTCAAATACATAATTATATTAAAAATTAAGATACTTTCAATTTGTCTCTCCAACTTGTTGCATTCACACTTCCTCCTAATTCTGGTAGAAAATCAGGTTCTCAAAATTACACTGATGCCCCCAGCAGGTGAATGGTTACAGAACCACGGAGTGCTGCAAAACAAAACCTGACAGAAACTGCTACATTTGGAAACCAAGAGCAAACGCCAGCCACGGGTGTATTATCACTCCCTTCTCAGCATTCGGCTTTATTTAGAAGCCTGGAGGACGTGCTATCACTAAATATTACATTTCACAGCAGCTTGTACCTGGCAAGTTCTGGGTGTTGTGAAAGATAACAGTGCATTTGCAAGTTTCTTTTTTTAATAAGCATCAGCTTCTCAGTCACTCGGCTTCACTGAAACCCAAATTTAATGTTCCTCAACCACCACCTTTCCCATTTCGGGAAAATACGAGCGCGTCACGCGATTCAGGGAGATTTGGGTCGACAGGGATCACACCTTAATTTTTTCCCCAATCTGGTTTTGTGAAGACTCTAATACCACTGAAGCAA